CCCCTGAGCAAATGCGGTCTGCTTCCTGGATACTGCTGAAGAGAAAGCACTTTATCTAGAGAGAAGAGGGCCCATACCTGAGAACTAAACACTCAGAATTAAAGAATCAGAGGAAGGCAACTTGGACCCTTCTTCCCATGTGTCTTCTGTCACATACAACTCCCAAAGGTTTCTAGGAGATTCCGACAGGAGCCGGACTCCTACGTGACCGTTTAGGCCTTCTTGCCCTGGCCCTTGAGCAGGAGATTGGGTAAGTCGTAGCTTCTTTCAAGTTTCAGTCAACAGAGCACTGGGATCATGGTCCCCTTGGTTGCAGAATATGAGAGCTGCCGGGGCTCTGCACTCAGAGAGAATGCACGTGTGTCGCCTCGGGGGTTCCACCTGAGCCTGTGAGGCCAGGGACAGTGGGGGAGCGGACTGCATGACCCCAGAGACCTTCCCATCAGAGTGTCCGTGGCCATTGCAACAGCAATGTCTGGAAGGGAGACGAAAGGGCTGGTCGGACTGTGACAGGCTCTCCGTGGTCCGCTGTGCCAGCCCTGGAACACCTGCTCTGAGAGCCACCCTCACTCCCCCTGCTCCGCTCCGTCCTAGGTCGGGGCGAGGAGAGGGTGCAGAAGGGAGTCAGCGCAGCAGCCCTGGCTCTGCCCCCCTCGGAAAGGCCTCCCTGCAAGGCTGCCCCTGGCTGGCCCTGCGCCGTTCGCACGGACAGTGTGGCTCACGGTCAACACTGGCCACCGCTTGTTTTCGGAGAGTGTGGAGTTTGGTTTGTGCCTTTGTGACCAACCTCAAACGAAAACCCCGGGCCTGGAGTCCCTAATGATCTTCTTGCTCGACAACATTTCACACGTTATCACGCCTCCTGGCTGGGGAGTTAGGCGTGTCCCGTGGGACTCCAATGGTAGGGGACTCTTGGAAACTTGTGCCTGGCTTCCTGCTGCCTTTGTCCCGTGTGCTTTTCCCTTTGCTGATTTTGATTGATATCTTTTCACTGTAATAAGTCATAGCTGTGAGGGTGACAGCCTGGTGGGTCCACCTTGTGAACTGTTGAACGTGGGGGTGGCTTTGGGACACCCCTCCCAACGGGTGTGGTGGTGCCACTTTGCAGGCCGTGTTTTCCCAACTCCTTTGTCAACTGGTTTTGGCTGAGTGCTGCAAACGGGAGACAGTGGAGGGCAAGGGAGAGACAAGTGAGGATCTTTCTTCCCTCCCCTTTGACCTCAGACAGTGGCTCTTGTAATAACTGAATGTCAGACGATTCCAGTCCTTGCCACACAGCCCCATCCCTGTGCCGTGACCCCACCACACTGTCCCTGCTGTTGCTAACTGCTGAGTTGGCTTAGCTTCCCTTGTTTGGCTTCTTGTCTCTTCCATCACCCATGTAACCAATCCCCTGTGTGAGATTCCTTCTTTCAAAAAATACCTAAAATGGTTTTAATTTTCCTGGAGGGATCCCAACTGCTATATTTCTTAAATACCTACATTGGGCCACCTCTGTGCCAGGCAAGGGACATTCAGAGGTAAAAGTTACCATAGACCTCGGCTGCTCCTGCAGAAGTCACATTTCCTGGCACAGCGCAAGGCTCACCGTTTGGCCAGAAAACTTTGTTCCAATTTCGAAGTCACAGGACTGTGAAGGAGGGCTCTGTGATGAGGACGGTCTCTAACCACGTGCTAGGCTTGGCTCTCGGACGCTCTGATTGACACTGTTTGTTAGGCAGAAGGAAAGCCTGTGCACTTTTCATGCTCCTGGGTTAGTAGTTTGGAAGAGTTAGGGAGTTAACCAGCATGTGTGCATACACACAATAACCAGCAAGTCTCAGGCCCAAAGTGACGCTGGTGGAGGCTGTGAAGGTGACAAGCCTGTCCCGAAATGCTTAACACAGCCAGGAATCCCTGGGGGACCTGGCAGCTGTGCAAACTAACCCGGAGGGTGCAAGGCTGCACTCATCCCACGCCCCACTTGGGCCGGGGTAGGTAGGAGTCCAGCACACCCAGGCTTGATGTCTGCCAGGACTTAGCGTCTTTCTTAGAGCCTTTCTCTACCACTTGGCAAAGAATAGGAGAAGGGTGGGCTCTGGGTGATCGAATGATCTGCAGCCTCTCCTTGGGAAACCCTGGTTGGGTTCTCTACTCCTTTGTAGACTAGTGAGGGTGCAGCCAAGGAAGCAGAAGACAGACATTCAGTGTAAGAAGCACCATGACAAGGCAAGCTCCTTGTAGAGCAGCTGAGCTGTTTAGCTTGAGATCTGGAGAGTGAATGAGAGACAGTCTCATGGTGAGAGGAGGAGAGGGAAGGGGCACAAGGTAAGAAGGTCATTGTGACGAGCATAGAATGGGGTGAACAGATTGCAGGTAGGGCTGAGGGAGGGAGACTGTGCCAGAAAGAGTGACAGAATTGGGGCTGGAGAATAAAGCAGGACCTAGACCATATAGGACCTTGTCAGCTGATGCTTAGGGTGTTTAGTTAAAGCAAAGAGAAATAACGACAGAAAGGTTTTGTTCAAAGTATTTGATTTCAGATTTGAGGTCCACAAAGTTCACTCTGACTGCACTGTGGGGAATGGATCGGAAGGGGTAAATGGGTATATTCAACAGATATTTAAGATGTAGAATAGAAAATATTTGCTGAAGGTTTAGATTTGGGGGTTGAGGGGGCGAGAAGGAAGGGTCAACAATGCTACGTGTTTGGCTGGGCAACTGGCTACAGGGTGATGACACTCACTGAGATAGGGAACTCCTGAGATAAACCAGGTTTTCAGGGAAAATTACACATCTCATTTTAGACATGAAGTGTGTGAGTTATCATTGGGACATGCCAAGTAAAGATGGCTGGTGGGCAGTAGATGGGGGAGTTTGGCATTCTGTAAAAAATCATGGCTAAAGACCTAGATTTAGGAGTTGCCAGGATATAGATAGAAACTGAAGACATGGGAGTTGCTGAGATGATCAGGGGAGCTTGCACAACTCTGAGGACACCCCAAGGATTGCAGTGTCTCAGAGGCCAGGGGAAAAGACCTTCTGGGCTAGAGTTGCAACAGAGGTCAGTGCTATCGAAGGTTAAGTGAGTGAGAATCGGATCCTGTCCTTTGGATTTAGCAGAGGCCACTGGTTAACCTCAACTAGTTTCAGTAGAATGACAGGGGCAGGAGCCAGGTGGCAGAAGTTTGCAATGAAGAGGAGGAGAGAGAGGAGCAATAGCTGGTGGATGTGAGATGAAGAAGGGTTTCAAAAATGTAGAAGAGACTTGACTTGGAGTTGTGTACATGCTGGGGGGAAGCAGCTGTTAAAGGGCAGGAGCTAAAGCTCCAGGAGGGAGGATAGATGGGCAGCCCAGCAAGGCCTGGAGAAGGGGATGTGGGGCACAGGCAAAGGGGACAGGCATATGTGGCCATCGACAAGGTGGGCGGGGATCCTTCCCACATGAGTAACAGGAAGAAAGAGGGAAAAGATGTCCCCAGTTGCAGGTAAGTTCATAGATTTGGCAGCAGAAAATTGAGAGGATGCCTAAGCAATGTCATCTTCCCCCCCCCCCC